CTTCCCAAAAGTTATTCTCCTCCCGGCAAGAGTGGATCACAGTTTCAACCTCGCCTGAACCGGTCTCATCTGTTCCTCTAGTGGGACTCGAACTAGGGTTGTATTGACACAGGGTATAGCCTCAACACATTGCCATGAATGCTCTTGGATCACAGTACAGATGCGAATGTCAAGGAACTTCCCGCATCACATACTGTGCTGTGATTGTCGATGTGGCAAAGTTGTATTTGCTATAGCAATCGACTACATTATTTATTTTAATTTTCATTGGGGTTTCGAGAATACTTTTTAGCAATCAAGGCTATATTAAATGCAATGTTAACGTGGGAAACTTCGACTACTAGTCCTTCCTCACCTTCAACGAAGTAGAGTGATTTCAGTTCTTATTCACGATCTACTGAAATTCTCGAAATCATACTTAAAAACGAAAAGTAGACTCAGGCTATTATAAATGGACCATGGTTACTGAGTCGGTATCATGTAACATCGTCGAGGGCAATGACAAATAACCGGGCTAGGTCCAGCCAGGATGAGAACACCTTTTGTGAGGCAAGGCCTATTCACATGATTGTGGGAAACTCCAACTCTCCATCAGCGATTTTTACATTTGCTTTGGTCAACGACATCACAAGCCTTGTTTGCCGAGTTACTGGCGGACGTCCGACTCTGAAGATGGGCCCTCAACATCATCTCGGGGATTGAAGAAGTCCTGACTTTGAGTTCCGTTCGGTGCTGACGACAGTCTCGTCGGCTGACGTGGCAGACGAGGGCGACATCGGATTACGGCTTGACGACGAATGTGTGTAGCCGGGGGCGAAGAAGAGGGGGGGGATTTGGGGGGATTTTTATGTGTCCAACTTGGTGAACAGGGAAGGCTGAGTCTAGAATGTGTAGGAAAGAGACTTTTTGCCACCAGCGATAAGCGCCAGGGCTGATGGCTCTGCCAAAAGTCAATCAAGATTACTCACTTCCCATTTTATCGCAATGCGTCCATCTGCCTCAGACCAGCACAGTGGGCAAATTACCAAATAACATAGTGGGATTTATGGCTGGGCGGAGGGAGGCCTGGGCCTATCAGAAGAGGGGCAAGGGCGGCATTCCAGACCGACTGGCCAGCCATAAAGAGCATAACGTCGGACGGAAGAATGGCCGGAGCGGGCAGAACAGACAGAGCCTAATGGGCAGAGCGATAAAATGAGCTGGTCACCATTGCAGGGCTGTGAAGGAGCAGTTGAGTCCGAGATTAACCAGCATACGGGCCTGATACAGGCAAGTCGGTGTGAGGCTCGTTTTTTCGGGTCTATCCGAACGACTGGGATAAAAAGTCCCTCGTGTTCGTAGATCGCCGAGATCCGCAGTTCTGATTGGCCGGATGGCTCTTTCACCCTCCAACTCAATTCAACTGTGACCTGAAACGACAACCAAGGACTGACGCTTCCCACCATCCTATCACTCTGGCCTGTGAGCTTTGGAGGATGCAAAGCAGAAATTAACAGCAAATCTCCTTGTGGACATTCGATGTTGCCAGCCATGGCGACTATTAGCATACATAAGTAAGCAGGCATAGGCAAAAATTGGAATAGGAATAAGATTGTATGTGCACCAGTGAGTAAACAAGTGTGTATAAGTCGGTAGACTACGTAACCGCTAAATGTAAGAGTGGAAATAGTTAAACAATGGGTAGACCCAAGTAATGGTGAGATAAGGGCAATTTAAGCAAGTACACCTTCGTATGAATAAGTGGGTAGCTGCATGGTAGGAGTGTGTAAACGCAGACAGATCGTGATTAATGAGTTTGAAGGGTACGGGTTGCAATTTGACATCAGGGTGCCTGTAATACGAACTAAAAGTAAAGATTGCAGAACAGCCGAGTAGACGCATTAGGCATCGTTAGACCGTTGCTGCTGATGCACGTCCAGTTTTTTGTTCACGATAGGCTATATTAAAATTTATATATAAAGTCGCGCTAATAAATATGTAAAAAGGAGGAATGGTAAAGTGAATATTTTTGAGGTGGAAAAAAGGAGTGATTATAAGGTAAATTTTATGTAATAAAATGCGACGAACGTGGTGATAGCAACTTTAAAATTGGACGAAGTATTTTGTTAGTATAAGGATGAAGTAAAGAAAAAGATAAAGCGGCATCAACTTGTTGCCGGCTCAAAGCAATCGCTAGAGATGGAAATTTTAAAATGATAAATTTGTGTGAGAATGTAAAGTGATATTCTTACAGGCAAGCACGACATCTTTAGACCAGAGAATGGAACAAGGAACAATCACAACATTTCAAGCATACGCATTAAGTAGAACTTTTCCACAAGTTATGATATTCTACTGCTTGGCCTATTATAGCCAATGCTTTTCTATCATCCTTAGAAATTGTATTGCATCAAGAGACGGAAAAAAGTTTGTACCATTTCAAAATAAAACCATTTACATTACTTTATTGTCTCGAAATGTACGGCATTTTCACGGGATCAATTACTCGTACCAACCGTCTATTCAATTAAATGTGGAAAATTGAACAATAGAAGCTACTTACTGGTCTGCAAGTAGTATAAATGCTATCCTTAGCTGCGCCTCTGAGAGCCTTTGTCTTGCAAACGGCTGGCCAACAACTAGTCTACAAAACGGGCCTGTCATTTACTTTAATTTACCGGAAAACGCTTCTACTGAATTTTGCGGATGGAGCTATTCGGGCAGGAGAAGCCATGCAGCCGAAATTGGAATGTCAGAAAAAACGGATCCACCCATACTTCAAATAAGAACATTTATGACTCGCATGTGGCGAAAGACTTGTCCTCCCTCCAACTTTGACTGTCGTCGGACAGCCTAGAAACTGAATAGTCATGGGCAATACTGGGAAATTAATCACTAGCGCGTAATCTGTTCGACGAGTTTTAAGGCGCAAAAAATGGGTATACGCATTACAGAACCAGTATTTGAATTTTTATTTGAAATTGAAGTTGGTTGAGACAAGCACGGATAGAGAGAAATAAAAAGCAAAGTAAATATTATTGCAACAAGAATGAAAATAGAAGCACAATTAAACTCAAGAGTGAAACTCTAGAGTGGAAGAAACAGCATCTTAGTTGAAAATTGAATGGTCAATTTATAACAACATGCCGGCCGATTTTATTCCCGATATTA